TATGCTGCATCTAAGAGTTTGCAACTTGTCTGGATGGCCAATTAGATTTCTGACGGAGCCATGCTGATTCCTACCCTTGGCCTCGCTTTCTTTATCACAATTAAAAACCGGCTTGGATCAATGTGTCCGCCTCGCTAGACGCTGGCGCAACATTTGCGTCCTTTGCCAGAAAACAAAAGTCAGATATAGACTCTTGCAGACGTTGCGCCAGCGTAGCGAGGACTCCGCATGAATCCACGCCGGCTTGCACATTGACAAGAGATTGAGATGAAAGGTACTTGTCCGGTGTAGGGCGCAGAGCAGTTGATTTGAAAAAGCACTGTGCTAAGCAAGCAGAAATCAGCTATGTGGAAGCGAAAGAAAGAAGGGCACAATTTCTGACTACCGCTGCACAAAGAGTTACGAAGAAGGCTATCTCTATAAGGACTGGATAGTGTGTACCACGGCTAGCTTCCCATAGGTCTTCCAAATGTCCGTGGAGCATTCGACCATGCGCCCCTTGTTCAGAGCTTATTTCTTGCTTCTCTCTATCTCTCTTTTGATCATGCCGATTTGTCAATGTCAGGTGTCAACTATCGACGAAAATAGCCGGTCATAATTTTCACGTGCCAATAATCATGTGAGCTTCCTTTCTGAATAATTTTCATTTTTTCTTTGATGACTGAGATCTCAGTTTTTGAGAAGATAGTTTTCCAAAAGCTTTTTGCGCAGAAAAAGGGTAAGGCATACTTTTTTAAGTAAGGCAGTAAAGTTTTACGGAAGGGGAGCCAAGAACAAAAACTTCACTCGAAGAGAACATAGAGATTTTCACATCCCATTTCACTCCCATGTGAGCGTAATGTTTCAGTGCTCATAAGCAAATAAGTAAGATGAAAAACATTGGGCCATATTGCCGCGCTCATAATCTACATGCAGTATGTATAAAACATGGATCTTTTGTGCATGAATCATCCAACTACCCGAAAAGTTGATAAAAAAATGAAACACCTCCACAAAAATTCTATCAAATTCCTAGCTTTTACGCCTTACATCTCAAAAAACGAAGTCTCAGAGGAAAGTTTTTTTTGGGTTTCCAATCCAAATTTTACTTTAATATCAAATTTTACTAATTTTATGTTATGAGTACAGTTCAATGCGTGCTGCATTACGGAAGGCTTGTTGCTTCTGATGATCTTCTCACAAGGAAAGGGTACTTAGTCGAAAGCACCAATCCAGATGAGACATACATCATCTTAAAGCGCTTGAAACGCTGATTCCAAATCTGTAGTTTTTAGCAGCGAAGCTGTTTTGTAGAAGGAGTTATGAGGGTGTTTCCCTCTGGGGTTGATGCGCCCTCCAGCAGGTCTCCCCTCAACTATGAGCACTGTAGAGTACCAGCTGGTGGCAATTGGCCTAGCAGTAAGTAACTTGAATGAAGATTACAACGAAAATCGCTATGAGATCCAAGAAGCTTTACAACATTCTATTGATCTCATGATTGCCTGGTGTACAAAGTGGGATATTTCTGTTAACATTGCTAAAAATTCCGTTTTTCACATCGGTGGCGAAGAACAAGTGCATTATCAGCACAATGGAATAGCACTGATTAACAAAACATTCGTCAAAGATCTGGGAGTTCTGATAGATTCGAGATTGAAACCGGATCTACAGATCGCCTCCGTCACCTCCCGTGCTTTTTCCATCTTATACACAATCTTTAGAAACATCAAATCAACTGATCAAAAAAATTTTTTGAAACTTTATAAAGCCCTTGTTATTCCTGTTCTCGAATATGCGACTCAAGTTTGGAGCCCCTCCCTGAGGAAGCACAAGCAGGCATTGGAGAAGGTTCAAAAAGTGTTCACAAAACTGCTTTTCTACCGCTGTTTTCCTAATCCAGCGTACCCCCGATTACTTCCTAGTTATGAAGAGAGGTTGAAAATTCTTGATCTTGAAAGCATTACATATCGGAGAGTTGTTCATCATATCATATTAGCTTTCAGGATCTTTAGGGGTGAAACCAGGTTGAGGCCTTCAAGTACTGGGTTTTCAGACCTAGCCTTGGAAGGACTAGTGCATTCTCTATTTATTTCCGTCACTTTCATGGGCGACAACGATTTCGTTCCTTATTTTAGCAGGAGTTTTTTGTTCGCACATCAAAAATGTTACAAGATTTACCACACGAACTTTTGGCATGTAGTGATAGTTCCTCTTTCAGAAGAGAGCTTAAAAAAAGAAGATTGAATGACTTTTTTGCAGGTTCAACGTACCTTACTTCCCTTCTTTTATGACTGCGCGGTTACAACCAGACATGTGCAATGAGCATGATTGAGTTACGAATATGCACTGACTAGCAGCCAATTTATAACTTTGCATATGTTGAACTCAACTGCTTTTGAGCCTTTTACTAACACTGTTCTCTTCATCATGTGGTTCAAGCCTGGTCACATCTATATTTTAGCCTGTTTCGCACAGCTTGCTTGCTTTGATTGCTTGAAGATCATATTATGCTTATTCTTGCTTTGGAGTTGGGCTCTCCTCGGCAAACTGGTTGCACTATAAATTCCGGTTTGTTTCTTGGAAATCTTTTGAGATCGTGGCTAGCAAACGAAGGGGTATGGGTACCATCTCCTTAGATAATAATTTGTTTAGATTCATTCGTTGTGCAGTACTTGACGATATTCTGTTTTGCACATATGGCAATGCTCATGGAGTTTTGGGCTCTCCCCGGCAGGCCGGTGGGTATGTACCCGCCGTCGTTTGCTTGTTTGAATACTTTAAGATCGTTTGCTGGCTAACGCGGGGGCATGGGTTCCATCTCTGTGGATATAACTCATCATTGACATTCGTAATATCCAGCAGTCTTCTTGCAAGCTAAGTCGTTATTCTTTAGTTTTACGAAGTCTGGGCCTGAAGCATATGATGTTCTGTTGTTATTCGTGCTTTGTGTAATACTAACAATTACACTGTTTGTTTCTGTTTTTTTATGGTACGCCTTGAGCGTATTCAATGAAAATGAAAATGAAAATTGCAATAAGGATTACACTACTCGTACTATTTTGGTTTTTTTAGCATCTCTAACTTTGATTACATCAATATCATCAGATCAATTTGAGGTTTTTACATGGTTTTAAACTCTAAAGCCATCAAAAGCTCATGCAAAAAATGCGACAAAGTTGTTGCATGCGAAGGGGATCAAAACCTTCACATTCTCCTTATCAAGCAAGAGCACTCCTCTACAGTGCTCATAGTTGAGGGGAGATCTGCTGGAGGACGCATCAACCCCCTTTTACAAAACCGCTTCGCTGCTAGAAACTACAGTTTTGGAATCAGCGTTTCAAGCTCTTTATGATGATATATGTATCATCTGGATTGGTGTTTTCGACTATGTGTCCTCTCCTTGTCAGTATTTGAAAATATAGATTTTCAAGAAAGTCATAATAAGTCAAAGTCGGATTTCGCAAAAGTTCATTATTTTTGCACCGACCTCATTACAAGCTTGACACGGTGGTTTGTAGGTCATTGAGTTCGTTTGTTTTAACAGAACTGATTCACTGTGTTACGAATGTAGCAGCATATTTACAAGATTCTTGATCAAATGTACAAATGTTTCTCCAAAAAAATTTATTCCAAACCAACAGAGCACATTACAGCTGACAATGCTGAGACAGAGGTAGACAAGGCAATGATCACCGAAATAGGAGATACATTTTTAACAACTTGTTTTTTCTCAGAAAAATTGAACTGCAGCGAGAGGTAGATGGAAGCTCTCCGGCATCACCAACAATACAATGACAAACAACAGATATCTGGTAGCCCTGAGAAGGCTACAAGCTTTTGTCGTTCCTGAGTTTTCTCAATTTTGTTCGTGCCTTCTACGAAAGATTTGAGCACACTAGGAATATTTTAGCAACGACGTACTCTATCTTAACCAAATTTTCTGCAACTGAATTTGACAGGAGGAGAGGAGGAGTTACGAACTTCTAGATGCAAAAAACAGAATTTTTGGCTCTAAAGATACGAGAAGCTAGAACAGATTCTCCGCAACTACATTTGACAGGAGCAAAAGGAGGAGGAGTCACGAACCTCCAGGTGCAAGATACGAGAAGCTGAAACGCTACTGGATTTTGTTGAGCGTTCTCTTAGTAAAATGATGTGTAGCAGCGATCTGCAAAAGCTTCAAAATGGCAATTGTCTCTTCTCTGCGTCCAATCTGAGACATACCCTACCCGTTTACCACAAATTCTCATTTTTGCTCTTTTGAGAAAAGTCGACTTTTTGGCAATTATGAACTCATTCAAAAGTAGCCTCGTGCTGCCCTTGTCTCGCATTGCTGATGTTGCCGATTTCATTTGCAGTTAGCAATACAATTTTAAGAAAATTTGGAAGTTTTTTTTGCGTGCAAAGAAAGTAAAAAAACGTGTCTTGCATTTTTAGATTACCCTACGAAATGAAGAAAATTGAAAATTGAAGAAACGCGAAACGAGTGTTGTGTTATTTAGTAGCTGTATCTCACATTCAGTTTGAACCAGGAAACCCTCTGGAAGTTGTTGTTTCTGTCCTGAAAAGGAGATATTGAGTTGTACGCGTTTTGCCAACTTCAAAAGTGGCAGTTGAGCGCAATTAATTTGATTTGCGCAAGGAAAATTTTCGCTTCGTTTTTTTTCAGTACATGTCAACAGATTATTTAGCTTTACTGAAAGTATCCTACATCAAAAATGTACAAGTGACTTCTTCAAGAAATTCAAGAACTACTGTGAAATAATCTCAGGAAAAAAAGAAGCCTCTGTTTGCATAATATTTTTGGCTATTCAATAGGTCTCTGGCTGTTGATCCTATTGTAGAACAACAGATAAGGACTAATTGCTCTTGTACGAGGTCAAAAATGTGTTTGACTATCTTCAAAAACGTAAGGAAAAAGAACTTTCAAATTTTCTCGAAGCTTTCTCCTGCAGTTAGCAACGATCATAACCCGGATTAAAATAATGTTCGAAATAAAATATCTAAATCCATTTTTTGCGTTAGACTAGCACAACTCCCACACAATTCTGTAAGATTAAGAACTATGATGTAAGACATGCAGCCATGAAAACAAGTTTCAAATGCGATCCTGAAATTTTTTTCGTTATAATGCACAAATTTTGAACTTACGTATACTCCTCCGATGTAGATACCGTTGTCGTTCGGACTCACGTTTCGCAATGCGAGTCCCAGTCTGTAGAATGAGGCTTGCCTCGGCGCTCTCACCTATAACAAATTAATGCATCAGATTCGGTCAGATTGAAGGGGTCATCATTATGCGAGCATAAGCCATTTCTTTGTACTTGGTTTTGGTGGAGAAGTGGCACATAAGCTTACAAAACTATTCTCAAGCAAAAAAGGGAAAAAAGCAACTAAGCCTACAAATTGTTTATTTTGCTTGGCCAGAATGCCTCTGTGAGGCCACAAAAAGGATTTAAAAAAGTCATATTTTGCTGCAGAAAAGAAGCCTCTAAGTGCATTTCTAGCTTTTGTCACTTCGTGGTTCTTATTTTTGAAGCTACTCAATGCTTCATTTGATTTAGCTCTGCATGTGTTGCACGCTATTAAAGCTAGAGGGCGAGCTTTTGGAGGAAAGCTTCAAGGGCTGACTGCAATCCGATTACTCAAAGATTGTAAGGTAAGCATTTCTCCGAACAATCGTCTCGTAACTCCGCTATCTCTTTACGCGCATCAGATTAAGGTCTCCTCCCCCCCCCTGCGTATTCGTCTCGTACATCTCAAAAATTTGAATATTGTTCATTTCATCTGATTACCCTAGTATATCTTGATGAGACGTATCAATCTTCTCATGAATTTTGTTGAAAAGGATTACAAACCATAGCTGTGTGGACGTACCTTAGCTACCATTAACTACTGCTGCTAAAAACTCAGCTAGCAATTTCGAAAAAATTCGCACCTGATTGGAAACCACTGGTACGAAACCATCGCATTTTGAGTTGGGACCGTCAAGAGCTACTGCCAGACAATCGACAAAAGTTTCGTTGCCGTTGAAGAATTCGCCATCGTTTTGGAGCACTTTTGTATGTCGCATCCACACCGTGGCTTTAGAATCCATGAAAACGACATCCGACTTGCTCAGCACCGTGAACTTCTCGTTGGGTAGCATGAAGACTTTACCAGCCTGAATAATATGGAGAATAAATTAATCACTTAATGTAAAGTGCTTATGTAACCGAAGGAAATGACCGCTTACATAGATTGTCTGCGCCACAGGTCTCACAGGGCTCACAGGTCTCGCAGGCTTCGGTTTGAATGGAGCAAGTATGGAGCTCCTGTCGAATATGCTTGCTTTGGGTATGGAGCTAATGCCTGACGCGGCTTCACAGAGACAGGAGAACAAACAAAGCGCAGCAACGGCTTTCAACAGCTGAAATCTTGAAAATAGAAATGGAAAGACAAGTTTGAACATAAAGATTGTGTGAGGTCCTCAATCTTGATTTCACATTTTATTAGATTGAAAATTTCTACCGTTCTTTAATCAAACATTGCATGTCACGATGCTGCGATTTAGAAATAGAGAGGTCGCATCAAAACCGTTTCTTTTTTATTTCTTCACTTTTGCAAGTGTTATATTTGATATGCGGGAACCGTCAGGCTTTAGTATATAGTGGATTATCTTTGTTCAGAATTCTTATCAATCACCTCAGTAGGTTAGATAAATTTGACCCAAAGCTTTCGATGAAACTTGCACTACCTAGTCATTGTTTGATTGTGAGGATTTTTGCGCTTTCATAAATTATTGTGCCAAGGGGTTCAAATTTGCTTGCAATTCCATACTAAATATCAAACAAGTATCAAGAGCTCGCGTATTTGTTTGCATTAGAATGTCGCTTTTTGGATGTTCGAGGCCAAAATTTTATGGCTAAAGTTACGAGGCTTTGTACTACATTGCATACATGGAGCGAAGGCTGCTGATAGGAGGAGGGAGTTTGCTATTTTCCTAAGTAAAATACAGCAAGTATACCTATGAATAAATGTATATGTCCGTTACATGCAGGAGCAGGTAGTAGGCTCGTAATTATTTGGTATGAAACCTGATTTTTGGCATCATGAATTGCTTTTGCGTTTTGGCTTTAAATGTTCAGCTGTCATCTAGTAGGGATTCCTTTGCCTCTATCGAGTGGTAGCCCACACTTAATTTTTTGCATTCGTCTTGCTTTGCTACGAAAAACGACATTCTTTTGTTTCCAACCTAATAGCTGCTGCTTTTTGAATGACAACTCCTTTGGCTTATGGGTCTGCAGAGGCTAGATGTAAACATTTTGAGCAGTCGGAAAGCTAGACGACGATAAGTCGTCATAGACTCTACTCTTCGAAGACAGCTGCCACGTCGTGCAGCTATCTTTTTGTGCGGAGGTATCCTGTGCGCCCAGAAACTTCCCATGTGAACCTCGTGCGTATGTGGTGCGACGTTGCCTTTCGCTCTTTTCGACACGTTTCTCCTGAAATTTCAACGGAGCTGCCCGAAGTCAAAGGCAGTGGCTCGGCAAATCTCAACCTAGTCAAATTTGCGCTCACCTAAGGTTCTTTAATACGCTGGTCCCGAAAATCCACTTTTTGAAGGCTTGAAAACGGCAAAGATGAGCGTACTTCAACACCCTTACTTTTGGAATTGGACGAGTGGAGCAAGGCCGATGACGCTAAATCGTGGCAGGACCCAATGGTTATAGCGTTGCGGCGGGCAGCCTCCAATGGTGAGAAAAAAAATTGCAAACTTGTGCAGATGCGTGTAATATTGGCCTGCGCGTGTAAGTTCGAGAGCGATTTTCTCGGCAGGGAAAGCATGCTGTGCAACTGGGATTGCACTGTTTTCATAGTTGGGCGATAAGGAACCTACCGCGTTAGAATCCCGAGTTGTTGGATTTTGCCGATCCACTGCCTTTAGCGCGTAAGAGCGAAAGGCAGCGAGATGACGTGGTACATATGGGAATCTTGCCGGGGAACAAACGTTACGTGCTTGCTGTAGATGTCCGCGCGGGACCTCTTCTTACGATGTAATGTCCTCCATCCCTTGGAGGGTACTTGAAGTGGGTAGTTGCTAAAGTTGCTCCTTACCGTTATGGCGTTTCCTTCTCATGCCTCAAATACTCATTTTACTCATTTTCTGTGGGAACTTTGCAACTTTATTGAGGTAAGCACTCCCGCCTTGGGAGACTCGAAACAAAGAGAAAATAAGCAGCAACTTGCGCAGATGTCATTCAGTTATTTGTGTGGGAATTACTGGTTGGTACATTGCACTGGGCACTGGATGTAGGCATATGACGAAATTTCAGAGTGCAACAACTAGGATTGGCGATATACATTGTGGCGCAAACCAACGATTATCATCATCATGTGCTTTACAAACATAATGAACCATTACAGTAACCTCCGTCAGTACACGCTCACTTAACCAGCCTTGGCATTTAAAAAACGTACCATGTCGCGGGGAGAATCGGGTGCGTATGAACACAACGATAAAAAATTTCGCACTGTACCGCATATATATACGACCAGTTCAGTATGAACTAACAACTGAAGTTTTGATCTATCATTGATATAGTTCATGTTGCGCATGCAATTTTCTGGGATGATGACGCTGTGATTTTGTACGTGTACAGATGATATTGCTTCACAATTTTTGACCTGAGGAACGAAATTGCTTCAGCAACAATTTGCACTCGCTGACTCTCAGTGTATTAGCGAGTGTAGATTTTCGAGAGTGTTTGCCTCGGTATACAGTCTGATAGTGTGAAAGCAACAAGAATGGTGATTCAGTGGTTTATCGGATTACTGTAACCGAAAGTGAGAGATTGTGACCTTAGGTGGTCAAGGTGTGATCAAGAGTGAGGTGAGACCTTCCAGACAGACATGGCCCGCCCTTTGAAATGACGTCATATGGCACGGGAATCTTCGATCGCTTGATACTCCGGACAGACAAGGGGATACATACATGTAGAGAATGATAATAATTATATGCATGATTAGCACAACTGCGTATACATAGAGGTGAGAATCGATTATGTTGTAGTTTCGACTTCGCCTGAGTTGGGCTAGTCGTTGAGAGTAAACCATTGGAGTGATGACGAGAAGAGGCTAGTAGTAGCAGTAGTGGACGGTGGCGGTTGTAGGATTAAAGGATTGTTGAGGTGACAACTCGTTAAAGACGCCGAGGTGGCAGCTTGTAGAGTTGTTAAGGTGCAGCTTATTGAAAACGACGGCATTATCGAGAAGATCCGGGCAAAAAGGAGTGCTACAAAAACCTCTCAGCTGATTATGACCGAAATCATAAGACTGACAGGCAAAGTAGCGCTCCCGGAGGGGAGTTTTTGAAAAAAACAACAGCACATTATCAAAACATTGTGCGAAACCTTTCTTTATCTAATAATTGCTTACAACAGCTGAAACTGTTGCAATCCCCTCATGTTTATTGGATTTTGCTAGTTTTAACAAGTAATGCGCGATTGGACCTGATACTAAGCCTAGCATCCATATGATTGCGCGGATCACGACTTTGATGAAGTATATCTTATATATTAGGTTGAACCGAAAGTTCTGTCGCACAATATTCAAAAAATCATAACTTCTTTCCCTCACAATGATTTTACACAGTTCAAATTTTGTCTGAAAGCGTAAAGCATGTAGTTTCCAAAAGCTCCCTGGGAAGTTTCCGATATGCTCAGGTGGCAGAGATAAAAGTGAAAGGACGAGATCATCCAAAATTCGGAATTTTTAAGCAAGAATTCTAGAAATTCAGAAACAGTGCGATGAAATCCAGAAAAGCCATCATCCTGATTTTTCTTACATTTGATTACTATCTGAGTCAAGTTTGTTCTGATCGAGCCCTTCTTTCAAATATTACGATTTTTTGAAAAATAATGCCGAAAAACCAATTTCCTAAGAATTCTCAAGAGATGGATTTTTTGGCATTTTTCAAAAATTCATAACTTCTGAAAGAAGACCTCGATCAGCACAAACTTGTCTCAGTTAGTAATCAAATGTAAGAGAAATGAGGATAATGGCTTTTCTGGATTTTATCGCACTGTTTCTGAATTTCTAGAATTCTTGCTTAAAAATTCCGAATTTCGGATGATCTCGTTCTTTCATTTTTATCTCTGCAACCTGAGCATGCTGAAAAGTGCCCAGGGGACCTTTGGAAACTACATGCTTTACTCTTTCCGGCAAAATTGAATTGCGCAAAACCACCGTGAGGGAAAGAAGTTATGATTTTTTGAAAATGGTGCGACAGAACTTTCGGTTCAACCTAATATAAAGCTGAATGTCTGTTTGCCTGTATGTTTGTGTGTCTGTCTGTCTGTCTGTACGTATGTTCCAAATAGAAAATTCCATTTCTGAACCGATCCGGACCAAACTTTGCACACATACACTTTGGGTGGGGCGGGTGTCATAGGCCACTTTTCATCATTGATCGATATCGATTTATCGATTTTTATTATTTTTTGCAGAGTTTAACTACTGGGTTGGAATACAAGGGGGTAATCGAACATGATGATTACGAATACAATATTAGTTTTTTTCGTTCATTACTTTTATCGATTTTATCGATTTTTTGCAAAGTTTGAGCTACGGGGTTGGGAGTTGGCAGAAGAGGGTAATCGAGCATGCTTATTACAATATTAGTTTTTGAAGTTATTCATTAGTTTTATCGATTTTATCGATTTTTTGTAAATTTCGAGCTACAGGGCTGGGGATTCGCACAGGGATAAGTCAGCATGTGATAATTGACAAAGCGGGAATAGGAAGTTGGAGTTGGTATGTAAAATTGGGCACAGGGAAAGTTGTACAAGGATAGGGATTGAAGCTTTATCAGAGTGTTCGAAAGCCGGGCGGAGCTGAGTAAACCAGCTAGTTATCCATATGATCACGCGGATCAGTGCTTTGACAACGCATACTAGAACAATGGGACCTCCTAGGTAGGTCGCGATGGTGAGAATTGCTGCAGACGTGAGTGCTGCTAAGGCGAAATGCCAATGGTATCTCAAGATCTCCACTACCGGTATGATCTGGCACGTGATGTCACTAATCACATGGTGATGCAAAGGCATTGCATGGGCATTTTTTCCAGTGGCAATGGATCAGCTGATATGTGGTAATGAAGAGTACTTTGAAGAGCAATAGATACAGGTCGTGGTGACACTGCGCAGCACTCTCATTGATTTCTGCTTGTTCAAGTGCAAAATTAACAGAATTGTACTCACTCATTACTTGACGAACATTGTATATTAAAATTTTGGGTCTCACACGAAACCGTCACTGTTCTCTCGAACGAAGAATGGCGATGTAGCGCCATGCAAGCAGATATAACATCCAGTCAGCTTGCTAATACGAACTTCACACTCCGCTAAGAATATGTCTCCAGTGATTCAG